CGAGTCTTGTTCGCTCCAAGCTTCAATTAACAATGAAAAACGCTCTCAAGTCCCTTAACAATAACATAGAGCGAGGGATCGATGAGTTTCCGAGCGATGTAGAGAAAGTGGATGTATTTTGCGAAGGTTCCACTATAGTTCTGCAGATAAACAGTGGTATTCTAGTGGTCGAGTTGATACCGACAATTGTTATACCCAAGTCAAATTTGGAGTGGTGTCGTAGATTTTCCAAATCTGAACCTCCTTCTCATGTAGTCGGCAAAGCGTGTCAATTTCCTCTCAGCGATCCCGAAACCCTCTGGGAACTGTCATTTTTGTCTGCTGAAAACAGAAAGCTCCGCTCTCTTGGAACCACAAAATATCGCTTGTTGTTATCTCTGGCAGAGATAAGAGAGCGAGACAAAACGCTGTGTGAGCTATCACTGTATCAGTTACAAACTGTTCTTTTTCATACAGGGGATCAAATCAATGATCCCATGAAATGGTGCGCGGAAAAGTTTGGAGATCGCTTTCTGGACATATTGCGCTGCTTGGAAAAGTTTTTGGAAAACAAACATTGCCCACATTTTTTTATTCCTAACACGAACCTGTTTTCTGCGATAAATGCTGTCACTCTCTCTACTCTTAAGGACAGAGTTCGTAGAATGGTGAAGCCAACGTGCGTGGCTTGTGGGGTGGCGACAATGTGCCAAAACAGGGAACAGAGGAGAGAAATACAGACTTAATAAGCATCAGAATTACTCTTACTGATTTTCTAACCTTCCTCTGGGACATTTGACAAACAATCAAGATTTTTTTAACTCCTGGAATGGTCAGGTCATTTGAAAGGTTTGCGTTCAAACCTGTTGGCCCATCGGGATGGCGCTCATTTCTTTCACAAGCATGAATCGAAACGACTAAAGTTTTCTAATCCCCAGGGATGGGATGTCGGTCCATCTTAGTATTACCCCTCCCCGCTCCCCGCATTTAGCTCGCCGGTACTCATTTATACACCTGGATGAAGAAAAGCTCTGTGAGAATACCGTATACACCTTTTTTTTTTTTGACACAAGAACACAAGACGATTACTTCGGCCTGGACTTAAACTTGAACAGCACGCTGAGCATTAAGCCACAACTCCTGCCCAGCCAGGTTATTCATCGTGGTTAATAAAGCTAACTGCGGGCCCCTGGGTTGGGATTCTCCGTTCCCTGCCACTATTTACACTTGTTCGGTCTTGTTCGTAGTACCGATTGTAGCTCTTAGCCGAACTTTGCAAATAACCAGCTGATCAGCTTCCAACTAGCTGGGATTCTTGACAAATTTCTGTCCTATTTACAATGTTTGTTTATTTATAGTTTGCTTAATAAGCACAGCAGTACTAAATACATTGAAGCTTAAAAAGTTCAGTCCTTTTTAACTGAACGTGAACTACACCAGATAAACACCAAGTTAAACGAAGATTGCCAGTATAATAAAATATAAAGCCACAAAATAAAATTGTTCACTTATTTCTACTCTTATTCCTTCCTTCCTTCCATCTTTCCTTCCTTCCTTCCTTTCTTCCATCCTTCCTTCCTTCCTCCTTACCTTCCTTCTTTCCTTCCTTCCTTCCTTCCTTCTTTCTTTCCTTCTTTCCTTCCTTCCTTCCTTACTTCCATCCTTCCTTCCATCCTTCCTTCCATCCTTCCATCCTTCCTTCCATCCTTCCATCCTTCCTTCCATCCTTCCATC